TTTTACAGATCACAAACCAATGAGATGCCACTGTTTTATGTCTAACTGTTTCTGTCACATTTGTTCTCCTCATCCAGGGCCTGAGTAAGAAGCTAGGGGTTTCCTCCTCAGTTCTGCAAGGGCTGTGGCTGTCATACAGCACCCAGAGTTTGAGCCCTGTTCTTGCGTCACTGCGCAACCTCTACACCCCCAATATCAAGGTAACAATGCATACTCACACACACACACGAGTGTATTTCCCACCACAGTTCTGCTGTAACTTTCCTCTTTTCCTTTTGCAGGTGAGCAGATTGCTGATTATGGCCGGGGCTGATGTGGATTACTGTAGCGATGTCCTCAACAACGCCCCCCTGCTGTGTGTCCACGCTCACCTGGGCCACACTGATGCTGTAGCACTGCTGCTTGATCATGGAGCACAGGTAAGAAAAAGGAAACATCATGTGAGATCATAGAGACGCGTCATTGGGTGTTAACAAGAGCAGATTTACTCCAACCACAATTCCACCTTCAATTTTTAGCTGGATGCTTGGTCACATGACGGTTTGACTGCACTGGGATTCGCTGCTGCAGCTGGTCACCTGGAGATCGTCACAATGCTGAGTCAGCACAGAGCCAAGGTAGCTACCAGTTCTACTCCACATGTGCAGTTTGGTGTCAGACAGATGTTTGCAGCTAATGTAAAGAATGACAACAGCAGGATTTTCACAGGCTTCTGTGCAGTACATCCCATAATTCAGTAGCTTGTAGATCCACCATTTGCTGAAAAAATTAATAGTTTTCTGTCCCTCGCGTTGTTCCAAGGTAATTGTGCACAAAAAAATATCACCGTGGTATGCAAGGGGCCAACCTTATACATACAGTGAAATATGTTAAATAAGGGAAAATTGAGATTGTTGCAGTTCAGTTGCTCTTTTTCTTTTGATTCTTGGTCTCATAACCTTTTCTGATAGTCAGTGGCATCACTGCAATTTAACCTAGAAAGAGTCCCAACCCTGTTTTTGAGTGTCTGTCTCCCCTTGGGTGCAGGTGGGTCACGTGGACGGCTCCGGTCGGTGCGTGCTGGTTCACGCAGCCCAGCGAGGCCACCTCGAGGTGCTGCGCTTTCTCCTAAAGAGGGCGGAGTGGAGTTGTACTACCTGCTGTGGACAGAAGGGGGCAAGCAGGAGCCAAGCAGTGCAGCAGGCTTTGATTGCTGCAGCCAGCATGGGACACACAGAGGTGATACAAACACACACCTTTAATGTATAACACTGTGTGGTACAGAATATATAATCACATAGTCGGGTGTGTGTGTGTAGATGGTGTCATACCTATTGGACCTTCCAGAGGAAGATGAAGAAGGGGAGGAGAGACCTGAGATCAACACATATGACAGTCTATGGGGAGAGACAGGTAATGACCATGTAACTACTATTGTGTAACTGTCACGGCAGGCTTTGTTTTTCTGTCAACCAGACGCCATCAGTGTGATAAATTCACATGGAAC